AAAAGGGAATTCAAACCATGTTTGGGTGGTAGTCACTTGAAATTTATAATATTGATAAGGTAAGATGGCACTCAGCGCCAAGAAACACCACAGAGCTTTAGGGTTACAGCTGCACCTCGCTGAGTCTGGCGGGTTGGAGCGATTTTGAGCCTCTTTCTGCCTGGGGAACAGAGGATCTGAGTGTGGTGGATGTTAATCCTTGATTTAACATCTTTTCGAAGCAACCTTCTTTCTCTAGGTAATGAGGTAATTCACTTTTTAAATTTTAAAACCAATTTAGCACAGAGGAGAATTCATTATTCATCTCCTCATGCGGCAACACATGTTCAACCAAGGCCTCGGATACCGTCAGGCTTCCCGCAGGCAGCCCCGGCCTGGCATTCTGGGCCTTTTCCTAAAGAATTGCTTTTGTTAGTCTTTTCGACTTTTCTAACCACAAAACTGTTGCCAAGTGAAGACGGCGACAAGAAGGCGACATGTTCATGAAAGGCCCTGCAAACGGCCAACCTGACTATGCGTCCCTGCGCGCGCTGCCCCCACGCAGAAGGCTCTGGACTTCTCCAATCTGGTCTTTGAATTCTGATCTGCATTAATGAGGCGCTCTTGGCAGGAGCCACCCCCTGACAACCCAAAGCCTGTTATTACCTCTCTCCTCCCCCTGGTAGTACCTAGACGTGCAGACAGACATCTTTCCTCATTAGCTGGTAGTAATCAGAGAAAAGAGGACACTAGTTTGCACAAGGGAAAAGGTGTAGGACGTTCTCCGGGCAGTCCCAAACACGGTTGGCAAAGTGGAGCCGGGAATCCGCACACCTGGAAAACAGCGCCGACGTCATAGAGCCTGTGACCTCACTCCCTTCCCGTGGCCTGAGTTCACCAAGGCTGTTCGAGGGGCCCAGACCCAACAACACCAAGATCTGTGCTCCAGAGCCAGGGTAAATATTAGAGCAAACTGGGAGATTGGAAATGAGCAGGGGTGGACATTTGGGGGGAAGGCAGAGGGAAGAAAGCTCTGGGAGATGATGAGCGCGTTTGAGGCGCTCCTTAGTCCCTCTTCCCGAGCTCTCCGGGGCGCATCTCGTGATTAAGGGCAGACTGACAGCCCAGCTTCACTGCTTAGCCCTGATCCGCCAAAGACTGTCAACATGCTCTTTTATGTTTAGCCTATTGAAACTCTTTACTTACCTTAAAAGGCAGATTTTTCTATTAAATATTAACGGGAAACCCACTGAATTATTAGAAGCTTGAAGTCATTTCTAAAATTTGCCTTTCACGAGGTCAAATTAAGAACTTTAATTTCTTAATAATGTTTAGAATCACTAGTTATTAGAAAGAACTAATTATAACAATTAGAACTGAAGTGATTGAGTCTTCTGGATTTTATATTATCTATGTTGAATCCGGGATTAAAAATTTAAAGAGATAAAGATGTGACACCCCCCCACCAAATCCATTTAGTTCACGCTCACAGTGTGGAGAAACTTGTAGAAACGGCCTTGTACAGAGCATACAGGTTAGGCTGGGCGTCGTTGCTCACGCATCTAATCCTCACACTCTTGAGAGGATGAGCAAGGAGAATTCTTGAGATCAGGAGGTGGAGACCAGCCTGAACAAGAGCAGCTCTACTAAAAATAGAAAGATTAATAGGACTTTGGGGTGGGTGTCTATAGTCCCAGCCACTTGGGAGGCTGAGGCAGGAGGATTGCTTGAACCCAGGAGCCTGAGGTTGCTGTGAGCTTTACTTACAGCCTGGTACTCTTGCCTGAGGAACACAGCAAAAGTGTATCAAAAACAAAAAGTGGATAGGTTGAGCTCCTAGATAAAAGATCAGTCTGTAAAATATGCTGTGATTTTCCAGGTAAAGTAGCCAACCAATAATTATTGAACTTCTTCAAAAACTTTAAGAACTCCACTTTTTGTTAGTGTTTAAAGGAAATATCAATATCAATATCATTGAAAGACACTCTGATCTCAGAAGGAGATTATGGTCTTAACGATGGAAACAAATTAATACAGTGAAGTGTAAAGTGCTAAACGGTTGAGTAAAATTTCAAGTCTCTGACATGAAATTAAGGATTCTATCTATGATGTGATTGTTTGTATCTTCATTTTGAATAGTCACTATTCTCCGATTTTAGGTTACAAACCTATACACCATGATCCTTCTATAGGCACTTTAGGAGAACCATGATGACATGGTTTTATTCTAAAAATAAATAGTATTATATAATTAATTGGCATTTTTGTGACCTTGAAACAATTATGCTAAAACTACATGTAATGGAAAAACGAAAAATGGATGGCTATTTGAGTATGTTGCACATAAGTCCATATTAATGAATGTACTACTCTTAATGGATAGTTACATATTAACAGAGGAATTATTGAAATAAAAATATAGGGTCTCCAGTGGGCCACTTGAAACTATGTTCTTTTCCATAAGTATCGACTTTGAAGTCATAGTTGGATCAAGACTAGTTTCTGAACTTATCTAACAACTTAACCATTAGCATGGGTTAATTAACTGTTCTAAGCTTTAATTTTTCCATCTGTGAAATACATACTATAGTCATACCCAATATTTATACATCATATTTTGCCATGAACCATCAATACGTGTTCACTCCTCTCCCTTTAATGGGCACATCATTAGGAATATAGGGAAATACATGCACCACATATCAATTATCTGCCGTTTACAAATTAGCAAAGCCTGAAAAGTACTGCAGAAAGAAAATTGTTTAGAATTCTCTCTCCCTTTCAGAATTTGAGAGTGCCAATCTCACAGGAAGGAAGAGAATCAAGGCAGCATCATCCTTTAATTTACAAAGGGAACAATTTGTGATGAATGACAAGAAGATGAGTGCCTCCTAAACTAAGTGGTCTCGTTGCTTCATCTAGAGCAGCAGCTCTCAACCTTCCTAATGTCCTGACCCACAGGAACTGTATTAAAGGGCCGCGGCATTAGGAAGGCTGAGAACCAGGGATCTAGAGGACCTGGAATTTTTTGGCGTATTGAGAAAGAACAGCATGGGCAATCAAATGATGAGTGTCTTTTTATTTTTCATTTTTTTACAAAGACAATGAAAATAGTAAACAACCTTTGTACCAAATCATGCATTGAAAAAACTTGAAAAGGCTGTGTTTTCAACACATCAATGGCATTTTTATTTTTCTATCCAGGGAAATTTGAAAACATACACAAATACAAGGAAGAAAATAAACATAACTTAAAATTGTTGCCTTAGACACACACAAAAAAACAACCCTAATAAAGTGTCTGTACATTTATGTCTATGCAGTCACAACCTTGAATTCTTGATTATAGTCTGGCATAAATAAAAGTAAAGCCAGTTCTACTTTTCATAGAGAATAGCAAATCAAGAGATAGTACATACTGAAAATAAACTTTACCAAAAAATTGAGATGAATAATGGAAGCCAATGAAGGAATCTATTTCCTCCACATTATTTTTTGATAGGGTAAGGGCAACAAAACTAGGCAAAAAGAAGGGGGAGTAGGTCCTTAACCTTCCTAGCTGTATCTCAAGGGCATTAATCAAATTCTTAAGGTTTATTTTTTTTTCTCTATCAGAGGCAAGATTGGTTCTACTCTGATCCTACTGGCACCATATGGCAATTCTCCTTTCACCACATTATTAATGAGTTTGGGAATCATAGTTCCTTTGGGATAACCAAAACCATTACAATGGTTTCTCCCTATTCCTCAGAAATCCTTGTAATAATACCTCTTGCTTCAATGCAGATCTTTTTTTGTTTGTTTGTTTTTGACTTAGTTTCCATCAATGGCTCTACTACCAGTGCTGCTGTTTCTGGTTACCACGCTGCTTCCATCTTTACCCACTGAAGGAAAGGTAAGGTTAAAATGGAAAATCTCTCAGAGCTATTCGAAAGCCTTTGGGGATGGCAAACTATTTCGAGAGGTTGGTACGTCACAGAACTCTCACTGTTACTTAGGCTAAGGCTGTGCTGTGTCTATATACATGTATAGTAGCCACCAGCCACATGTGGCTATTGAACATCTGAAATGAGGCTTGAACAAACCAGATGTACTACAAGATACTCACTAGATTGTAAAGATTTAGAACAAAAACCGGAAGAAAATATCTCACAAATAATTTTTATATTGAATATATGATGAAATGATAATATTTTTGATACTTAGTTAAATAATCAGGTTCTGAGGGCTCTTGTAACAAATTACCACTAGCTTGGTGGTTTAAAATATCAGAAATGTATTCTCTCACAGTTATGGAGGCCAGGAAGACTGAAATCAAGGCGCCTACAGAGCCATCCTCCCTCTGGAACAGGTGTCCTCAAACTGCGGCCCACAGGCCACATGCGGCCCGCCAAGGACATTTATCTGGCCCACTGGGTGTTTTTGCCCCTGCTGCCTGTCCTGCTTAGCAGCTGACTCATCCTGGGGCCCGCAGTCCGGCCCTCCAATGGGCTGAGGGACTGTGAACTGGCCCCCTGTTTAAAAAGTTTGAGGACCCCTGCTCTGGAGGATCTAAGAAGAATTCATTCTGCACCTTTCCTCTGGGGTTTGATGGCTGCTGCCAAAGCTTAGTGTTCCTTGGCTGTGGCTGCATCCCGGCTGCATCTCTGCTTCAGTCCTCCGTTACCTTCTCCTCTCTGTGTGCCTGTTTTAACTATGCTCGTCATTATATTCAGGGCCCACTTGGATAAGGTAGAATAATCATATTATCAATGTAGAGATCATTGTAGGAAATCATGCTAATAATTTGCCATTTTTTCTATTTCTTTCTCCAAAACATTTTTTTCATGGCCTTTCCAATCCACTTTAACCTCTCTGGTTTATCTCCTGGTCTTTATTTAAAAAATTATTAAAAAGTGAAATTTCATTTAATCTTTCATACCACAAAATACTTACTGATTCGATGCTCTACAATGCTCTGCCTAATATAATTTTCTGAGCTTTGTCAGGGATGCCTAGAAAATACTATTGACCTTTCACAATCCTAGTCCAGAATCATCTTTTGTGAATCCTTGCATGACTGCCAACAAGAATTGATCCTTTCATCCTCTGTATTTTGTTTGTTTCATCCTCCTTATCAGTTTGTTATCATATGGTATTGTGATTATTTATGTATGCCCTAACACCCCTCTACTATAAATTTTTAAAGAAAAACACATATGTTTTATTCATTTTACATTTTTAAGACTTCTAATCACATCATCAAAGCTTTATTAGTCCTCCTAAAAACTACAGCTCTTTTTCTGTAGATTTTTTATCTATAAAGCAAGATGAGGTGAGACTCAGGAAACAATTGTCTTTTTTTGCTCAGAAACCTAACTTTATGTATTTTGAAATGAAACTATTTTAAGCCGATTTTTATTGGAACAGGAAATAACTAGGGACACCATAATACTGTACACTTTGACGTAATGCAGAGATTGGTGATAATTAGAATGCAAGGGCGTTCCTTCCAACTTAGGACTCAGTTGTGCCAGATCTATTGGTACAATGGCATTTACTGATGGTCCTTATTGTTAGAAAGTAAAAATAGGAGGGGGAAATAGAAGATAATAGACAATGACAACAAAATGTGGTCAGACCTATGTTGGCAGAACTTTGAGAGCATTAAGGGACCTCAATGTGGGAGATGGGGAGGATAACTTACCCCCAAGTGTCAGATGAAATCTAGAAGAGGCCCTGTCCTTTCAGACTTAGATGCAAAATCTTATTCATTAATATCACACTCTTGCGTGAATTTAAACTAAATTTTAAAGCATCAAAATGCTTAGACCTTGAACCAAAAATTCACATACTTCTTCTTCCCCAGGGTTGCTCCTCCACAGACACACACACACAATCACAGCCACAAAAACAACCGAAAATATCAGCACTTGATTTAAAAACTTATCAGTTACACTGCTGGTTACTAAAAGAAATAAATTCAACAATAGTTCATTCCCTAGATGCATTTGTTCCCTCAAACTTACCTTAAAGATTTTCCTAGTATTACAAAGCTGTTTCTTGAGCCACTTCGTACAATCCGTTACCTAATAATTACAGCGGTTTTCCTACATTACTGAATGTGAGA